CCTTCATAGGAAAAGTATTGTGCCTGCAATCTCTCTGCCTTGCCCACTCTTTCCTCTCCCTATCTTACCCCTAGTTGGTATTAGAGCCCTCTGTGTACCCCAGTTGGTATCAGAGCCAGGTTTCAATCCTAGGACCTGTGGGTTATGGGCCCACCATGCTTCCGTTGCGCAAGTACCAACTGATTGGCTCTGATACCAACTAGGGCAGTGATTACCCCCTTAGTAGTCTTGGCTGCTTCTACGGTCTCTGTGTCAATCGGGACTGAAGGTGGCTCCCCAAAGGGTCACAGCCACTGGCAAGATCAGGCTTAGTCATGATGAAGCTGCCTGCTCCTCTAGCTTGCTCCTGCAGCTCTAAAAAATGTGAGTCATGAGTCTGTAGGCTCTCTGCTCTGGCCCATTTGCGTTCTCTCCTTTTCTTCTTCCTTATCTTCCTCAAACTTTTCTCTCAAACATCATCGGAAGCTCTTTTCTTTCCTTTATCTCCAGCAGCTATCGTAGGCTCCCAATAGGCCGTCAAATCAATCTCCTCATCGAACTCTACATCGAGGTCTGAAAGAGTTGGGAGTACTATGATTTTTGGTTGTCATGATGATAACTCGGCTACTTGGCCCTGAAGATCCCCCAACTTCTCACGGAGACTACTGGTGTCTGTCTGCTCCACCATACGCATGTTGAGCTAACTCTCAAATCCATCCAGGCAAGCATGTAGGGCTTGAGTTGCTGTATCTATCTCCGCGTTGACCCATGGCTTCATGTTTTCCAACATATCTTGAATTTTTCTTTCAGCCATGGAAAACCTTTTGGCCAGTTTCTAGAGGAAGTACTAAGGCACTAAAACATGCCCTGCTGGAGTCTGAGTGTGTAGGCTAGGTTGTGGCGCAACTGAAGTGCTAGGAGATGACTCTGAATGACCAACATATGTAGTCGGTGTCTTGCTCTACTCCTGTAAGGTGGGGGCATTCACCTGTACGCCCCCAGCTGGATGGGCTGATGGAATTGTTGTGGAAAGCTGAGATCGGCTTACTGGGTTTATTTCATCCCAGATAAGGCTGATGTCTCCAATCCTCTATCCTCTAATCAAACACTTCTCACCCTATCATATTGGCATCCCTGCCTCTGTGCGTAGCCTAAATACAAGACTCAGGAATGAGATGGTAGTGCTCACTCCCACCACCTGGTATCGTATCTCCTCTGCGATGATCCTCGGG